CAAAGAGAGAAGTAAGGTTTTCACTTCTCTTTTGCCAAATTTGTTGCAGTCACGTACTGTATTTAATGTACTAACTTCTAACAACTTGCCTGCACAGTGCCATTTCTTCTTTTTTATTAATTGTCGTGCCAAGTACTTGTAACATTGTTGAATAGAATTTTTCAAAGAGTTTGATTTCTCTGTTGCCAAATTTCTTGCGGTCGTGTACTAACTTCTAACAAATTGCACATAGTACCATTTCTTCATTGATATTTTTTACCAATTACGATCGTGTAAGTACTTGAAACAATCATGTAGAATAGTATTTATCAAAGAGAAGTGAGATAGATTTTGAATTCTCTTATTTAATGTACTAACTTGTAACAACTCGTGCACAGTGCCATTTCTTCATTGACATTTTTTATTAATTGTGGTCGTTGTTTTTGATCGCGTAAGTACTTCAAACACTTCCGCAGAATAGAATTTCTCAAAGAAGGAAATGAGATAGATTTTGATTTCTCCGTTGTTGCAAAAAATTGAATCTATTAACTTGTAACAAATTGCACGCAGTACCATTCCTTCCTATCGATATTTTTCTACTAATTGTACGTAACATTTTCGAAAAACCGAGCACAAATGCTTATGGAATGTTTGTTGCAACAACAATTATGGATCATCGATTATTCTGGGCGTACTAGATCAACGACTTATACATCCGATCCGTGGGCTTTTCGAACGAATATTTCTCGTCAAGCCGAGAGAGAAAGAGAGGGAGAGAGTCTGTGCGCAATATCGAGTTACGAAGTTTCCACCGAACCGAAGTTCTAATATGGTGAAGTAAATTTTTCTTGAAATCCTTCCATCGCTTCTCGTAGAGCTTTCCATTTTGTTACGTTAAGTTCGTATTAATAAAGTTCACATTAAAACGGCAACTGTGGCTGGTTTTCGTAGTCGACTCGAGTTATTAACGTTCACCTGAACGACGAGCTGAGTCTCGGATAAATTTCTTACGAGAAATTTCTTTCTGAACATTTTTGATTCTTCGAATTTTTTCATTAAACGACATCGAACCTCATTATCTCAAGGAGAACGTGCTTTTATTAATAAAATGGAGAATTTGTATTTGATATACTAAGTAGTACCATTTTTTCATAGACACTTTTTACCAAATGTGATCGTTGTTTTTCGGTCGTGCAAGTACTCGAAACATTATTAAATGGAATTTTTCAAAGAGGGGGATAGGAGGTAATAATTGAATGTATTAACTTGCAACAAATTTTACATAGTATTTTTTCATTGACATTTTTTACTAATTATTATGATTGTTGCGTTGATGTTTTCCTATCGCGCGAGTACTTGAAACGCATTGTTGAATAGAATTCTTCAAACAGGCGAATAAAATTTTGTTTCCTCTATTGTCAAATTTGTTGCAATCATGTAGTCAACAGACTGTACATTTCTTCATTGCCATTTTTTTTCTAATTGCTTAAAATATTCATATGATAATAAGTTTTGATTTTTCCATCGTCAAATTTGTGCGCTTTGCGATTATGCAAGAGATAATATTTGAATTTATTATTATCTACAGTAACTCTCTCTTTAAACAATTGGACAACTACGTTCCCTCCATTTTCCCCTTGATGAAGCTCGAACGAGGAATCGGATTAGGCGAAATGGAATTAAGGGGAAATAATTGTGCAACTTCCGCGTGAACCTGCGTGTTCCTCCGACGTCGAAAAATAATTCACACGGCTATTATTCGATCGATAAACGATGTCCCCTGTTTTTCCTAGAGGGAGATCGAGTCATTCACGGGAGGATCTCCCGTGTGCCGTGTTTCGAGTGCTTGGTCGTTGTTTATTTAAAATTTTCGAGCCGTTCGAAAATATACCATCCAACCAGCCCGTCCCGAGCGTCCCTTTCGAAATCGCGGTCGACCATCCTATCGGCCCGCCCCTCCCCGCCAACCTATTTGCACTGGGGAAATCAAATTCGCGTTTCATGGAAATTTAATCATCCGATATCGCGGATTACTACGCGTGACAACGCGTGCTGATCCCCGCTGAACGGACAACGACAGGTTGTAAATCGATGCTTTCATTCAATG